TATTTCGACTCCGAGCACACATTGGTTCGTGCTAAGATTTGCATGCGTTTCGGAGGATCACCCAAGCGCGCTCACTACCGACCGGACGTCGCAAACTTAGTAAACCCTGCGATTTTAACCAAGTAACAAGCCTCACTGTCAACCTTGCTTGGCTTAACTATTGGCAGTGACCTCGATTCGCAGTGGGAGCAGATCAAAGTTGCCTTAGTTTTCGCCAGTATCGACACTTTTGGAGTGGCCCGTCACCCACCGAAGCATTGGATTTCCGTCGTCTCCTTGTCGCTGATGGACAAACGCTGCTTGATCCTGTCGGATTCCAGACAAAGTGAAGAACGCCCATCCCTGGGTAGAGAGTTTCGAGGGAGGCTGCAAATGGACCGCGAAGCTTGGTAGTTTGTAAGTGCTAGGGAGATGGAGCTTGCTAGTCTCTCTGGTTATGCCAGAAAACTTTTCCATCTCATTCGAGTCACCAAAGGTGTTCGATCTGGTATAAGTGAAACAATGTGCGAAGAGGATGGCACCTTAATCACCAACCTTCAACGACGGTTGGAGCGATGGGCCGAACATCTTGGCTCGCAGTGTTGTTGGCCCCCAGCTCCTTCTGCTACCTCTGGCGCTCGCGCTGGGGCTGAGTGGTCTACCCCCACCTATCCTCACTCTTACCGGAAACTCGACCAGGAACTCCGGCACATGAAGCGTTATAAAGCCCCCGGCCCTGATAGTCTTCACCCAGCTCTATTTAAAGATGGTGGCGCTTCGCTGGTTCGAGAACTCACTGATTTGTTTCCGAAAATTTGCTCGAAATAGGAAGTCCCATCATCTTGTCCCCTCTTGTTTGCAAGCTGCTGGTGTGCATCATACTTCGCAGGCTATCCCCAACGCGCGAATCGTTGCAACTAGAAGAACAGGCTGGGTTTCGCCCTGGTCGCGGCTGCATCGGTCAAATTTTCACACTCCGCCAGATGGTCGACCCCCGCCATGTGTAGCAGAGGACAACGATTGCTGTGGTCCTGGATATCCATGCAGCCTTCGATTCTGTCGATCGGACTGTACTGTGGCACTCCCTACTGAAGAATGTCGTCCACGAGAAGTGCGTCTCCATACTGCGCGCTCTCTGTATGGTGTGACCTCTGGCAGGGTTGGGGCTTATGGCAAGCTTTCGCCTACCATTGTGGTCTCCAGTGGAGTTCGACAAGGATGCCCTATCTCTTCGTTCCTATTCAACTTTGCCATTGAGGATGTCCTGAAGAACGCTCTGGGCGATTCATTGAATGCTGACGTTGAGCTCCTCCTAGGTAGTCGAGTTGTTGATTTGGATTATGCTGATGATATCGTCTTGCTGGGTGACGATCCACAGGTCGTCCAACATGCGTTAAACCGCTTGGTGATTGAAGCAGCAAAGTATGGTATGTACTTTTCGTCAACCAAATGCAAGGCTCTCTTCCAAGACTGGCGGTTGCCTCTGTCTGCATTCACTCTTGGTGGTGAGACATTAGAGGTTGCAGAGAGCTTTGTCTACTTGGGAAGTTGCATCACTGCTGGCGGGGCTGTTGGTGACGAAATTTCGATGCGCATCTCGAGAGCACGCTTCGCTTTTTCTAAGCTGAGCCACTTGTGGCATTGCCACGACATTCGTCTCTCCATCAAATGGAGGGTCTATTGTTCAACTGTTCGTTCTGCACTGTTGTACGGATGCGAGACCTGGTCCATTCGTAAAGATGACTTGCGCAGGCTATTCGTCTTCGAACACCGCTATCTGCGGTCCATTGCCCCTGTGTAGTGGCAGCACCACATAAGCAATGTGGAAGTTAGACAGCGTGTCTTGGGAAGAGGAAGCCACTCGCTCGAAGAGCACGTCTCACTGCATCAACTGCGGTGGTTGGGACACGTATTGCGCATGCCCGTCCAGCGTTACCCCCGTCGTGCGTTGTCTGCACTTGCTGGACAGGGCTGGAAGAGACGGTCTGGTGGACAGCCTACGATATGGAGAAGCCGCATGAAAAAGCTGACGAAACAGTTGGTCTCGGCCGGTTGTTGTCGACTACCTGGTTGGGGTCCGAGAGATGCGGATACATGCTGGTTGAAGACCATGGAAGCCATGGCTCAAGTTCGATGTTAATGGCGGACGTATGCATCGGTTTGTTGCGGTGTCCCTTCTTCCCTTTAAAAAAGAACAAACTGGAAGTAATTTCAAAAACTGTGAGTAGTAAACTATACAAAAATAGCTTTTGTTGTTGTTGCTCTTTTCTTATTATTCATGCTGTTTTCCTATTCAGCCGCGATGCCGATGGCACAATATCTGTAACACAGATTATATATATATATATATATATATATATATATATATATATATATATATATATATATATATACTTGATTTTGGAACCTCAATGCTTCGCACATTAAGAGTGCGCTGTTAGCAAAGTACATAAGATAAAACCGCATGAACCTTTCGAACAACTTGGTTTATCTGCTGAACGGGCAAAGTTTTGTGAACTAATACTTCGCCGTCTGATGTTCACAGATTCCTGGAACAACTTTATCTTGATAGTATTCGTTGAATGACTTCCCAGTGATTGGCCAAGTTATCCTTTTGTGTGGATTTGCACACCTATCAATCCACCGAATTTCATTTCTATGACATGTTAAGTGACTGCCTAGAGAGTTGCATGCGGCAAAATGTGTCACTGGTCTCATTGGTTCTTCCACACATTTGTTTCTAAGTTTCAAAGCACGTATGCACCGTCAAGTATAATGAGTTTCCCACTCAGACATTCAGTGTACTTTGGGTAATAAACGCAGGTGGAGGAGCTTTTCTCAGCCGACTTAACTTATCAGCCAGCCAGCACCCGTTTGTGATTACGCTATATTTTGCGACAAAAGATTCAGCGGTTTTCCAAAGTTTATCCTCGTCAATGTTTTTGTGGGTTGAGCAGTGCACTACTTGTCAAATTAAGTGTGATTTCATTGATGTAGCTTCGAAGTCAGATGCGCTTTCCCAAAAATGCACTAGATGGTCGTTCCGACCAGTCGCTCCTCAGTACTGCGCATCGATTGATTTGTACAGTCGACCAGCAGGTTAGGCAAGTGTGCCATGGAAGCCAGTGGCAAACTGTCTTGATTTACAAATTAATTACGGTAAAGTGGGCCTTACCCTCCACTGCCATGCAACTTACGACCGTTGGAGAAGACAGGGCTTGCCTCGAAAGACATGACTTCCACTGGCAGTAGTTAAATACGACCTAGCAGTTAGCAACTATTTACACGAATGTTTGCATATACTCATGAAGAATAGATTTTCTATGTTTTCGAATGTGCGTTCATCCCGGGATCTTCAAAATCAGCTAGTCCTCCACGTGCCCGAAAATGCACTAGGCGGCCTGTTCAGCCTACCTGGGTTCATTAGTAGTATGCATCTCTAAGCTCCACCAGGATCCGCACCCATGATCAATGGCGTATTGTTCTGCTATAAAGTAGATTATGCCGCTAAGACACGGGGGTAACGGTGGACTGTCATGCTTTACATACTAGCTGCAATGTAGTGCGTTTTATCCTCCGCTGCAAATGGCAGGGTTGAACCTGAAAGATTTATTCCACTGACGGTAGCCATGTACAACAGAATTTAGAAACCGTTAGGACCTGTGTTTCTCCTTAGCTCACATGGTGCATCTCCATTGTTGAAGGGAATGCACCACGGCCAACAATGCCCACATAATGGATCACATCACCAATTTATACGTAGTTTCACCACAGCTGAACCAAGTCATATGACTGCTTTGCAGCCGCAGAGACAATAGATAACCGTTTCATTTTAATGGGAATAACATGCCGCACACATCTCCTTAGACCCATGAAGCATTCAAGGCTATAACTGTCTGACAACATTGAAATATTCAGTTTGGTTGTGGACTTTTCACCGCCAATCGAGGTGGCATCTTCAGTGCGTAATAACAAGCTGCTTGTTAGCAGGAACTAAGCTTATGGTCCCTGTTTAAAAATGCCCGTCAAAACCCGTGCACGGAATGAGTGCTTTGAAAAAACTAACCCCAAGTCGTCTACCGTTGTGACAATCGTTTTCCGCCAATCCTGGTAGTGTAGAGATGAACGTCCAAAAACAATAATCTCTGTATCTCTGGTTCGATTTATAGTTAGTCTCTCACTACTTGAAGAATGCAGACCAGCACGAAACCTGGCTTTAAGTGTAAAGTTGTTAGCGGAGAACAGCTGAGCTGCAACTACTTCAAGTACAGTCACAGTGCTTCCATGAATCGGACTAGATAGTAGTCCTGATTAGATGTGTGAGTCAAAATCCATCCCTACAACTGGAGCTTCAAGCTAAATCAACACTGACCAGTGTCAATAAGTTCAACGTTATGATTAAGTTCGTTTGGTTTGGTAGTATGTACTGCTACAACGCATACGCAACCACACAGGCACAACCGCAAATCAGGAATGCATCAGCGGATGGACGGACAAAGTGCCTGATCGACTTATCATGCTTCGACTAAAGTAAGTCCATCCACTAAGAGGCTATGGTGTTGCTTTGGCATTTCTCATCAATCGAAATCCTAGATGGAAATCACAGTAGCGATTTCCTCTTGATTCCAGTTTCACATTTTCACGAGCATGGGTAATGTTTCTTAGTATCTGAACGGTTATTTGGGCAAGTGTCTCCACTGAAGCATACGCCGCTTTTCCCATGCTCTCTGGATCGAACCAGTGGTTGAATAAACTAGAATGTAGCTATACAGTAGTCACTATCATCTGCGGGATTCTCGGAGTAACAAGTTTTAAACGCAAGGGTATTCTTTCATGGGAACACAAGCCTTTAGACTGTGAAATTATTGCCGCCTGATTTTCGTCAATACATGTCCGAATATCAGTCTCAGAACTTATCTACCAAAGGACAAGTAGTGCATGCAACTTATTTTCATCAATAGGCAACCTACAAACTGCAGCACTTTTTACTTTTACATATATTTCTCCCTTTTCCCACCTAGATGAAGTCCGTCAGGGGGCCTATCGTGAGCTATGGCATCCCCTCCAGCTCATCAGCGGTAAGGAGGACGCCGCAAGCAACTTCGCGCGCGGATATTACTCTCAATCTCGTTTTGAAATGAGTGACGTAATGGACCGTGTTCGTATTCTGGTCGAGCAATGCGACAATATGGCTTGTTTCAAACTCCTTTATTCGGCAAATGGTGGGACCGGATCCGGTTTGACCAGCGCGTTGTGCGAACGACTTTCGGATGAATATGGGAAGAAACGAAAATTTGCCACCACCGTGTATCCGTCTCCAGGTTACTCTGAACTTATGGTGGAACCTTATAATGCCCTCTTTCATTCTTCGACCAATCTTATGTTCTGTGACTGTGTAGTGATCACGGACAACGAAGCCATGTTGAATGTGGTCGAAGATGGACTTCGATTGCATCATGCCGGTTTCACAGTGCCCAACAGGGTGATTGCCAATGCGATCACCACACAGTTTTTGTCTCATCGTTACACATTCATTGGGCAACAGCATTCACATGTGGACGAATTGCTCATCAACTTGATTCCCTACCCACGAATCCACTTTCCAATGATGGCGTTTGCACCATTTTTCGGACCGGCATGCCACGAGTTCGAGCGAAGCAATGCAGTTGAATTAGTGCGTTCCGTATTTGAAGATATGAATCAACTTCTGAGCGTGTCTGCTGTAAGACGAGCTTACATTTCATGTGCATTACTATTTCGAGGAGCCATAACCCCCATTGAAGCCATCAATGCGGTATCTGTAATTAAAGCAGACCGTCTCAGCCGGGCCCGATTCGTCGACTGGTGTCCAACGGGGTTCAAGATTGGTGTCAACTTTGCTCCGCCAATTCAGGCAACAGAGCATAATACTGTGGCGCTCAAAAATACGAGCCTCAGCATGATTGCAGGTAATCTTTCTATTCGTGATGTATGGACAGGCATTAGCAAACGATTCGATCAGTTGTACGAGAAACGTGCCTACGTCCACTGGTATGTGGCTGAGGGTATGGAAGAAGGAGAGTTCGCCTTGGCCCGCGATGTTATTCAGCAGTTGGTGGAAGATTACGAAGCCATTGCCAAGGACGCAGAAGGGGCAGTGTACGATTCCTCTATGAATCATTCGCAGGATCAGCTCTCTAGATCAGTCGTTCGCACTTTGCCCAGCGCGAAACGTGGTTCACTGAATAGAAACGACATGATTGTCAACCAGGCAACAACCTTAGATGATCCCAACAGCCTCCATACTTTGGAGAATAACGAGGACAATATGTCGTTTGATACAAATCAACATCATTCGCAATCCCTAAATGCGAGTATTGCTCATCGTACTCGACTGCGGGCTCTTGATGGGAACGGCATCCGCAATGAGTGGGGAACAAGTGGGGTTTCCGGACGTGGTAGCACACTTGTTCGACTCCATCCAACCCGAAGAAGACGGCTGCATTTTCCTTTGGGCGCATACCAGACGCCAACTAGTAGTGGTTACAGGGCAGAAATGGCGCAACACAGCTCAAACGCTCTGTTGGACACCGCTGACTTTGTTCCGGTATACGGCACTAACTGCTCCGCAGCTGTTGGGCAACGCAATCCTGATATGCCATGCGATTCGTCGACGCACCAAAAGCCATCAGTGAAACTTGATCGTGTAGCCTCATTAACCAAGTACAACGTATCAACTCGACCTCCGGATCATGGATGCTTATCTGTAAACCGGCCTGCTTCAACTGTTCGGTCGGCTCATTATCCAAGGGAGTCATCAGGAATTCCCCGTTTCATCGGCCACGGTTATGTCAGAGATGTGTTCAGGAAGATATCTGAGGTTAACCAATTAAACTGCAACGGTGATAACTGGAATTGCCACTCGACCGAAGATGTTACACCGGCTGCCCTGGCTTATCTGGCTAGTGAGCGTAAAGAAACTGAGCTTATAGGTCCAACTCAAACTCCTGACCAACAGGTGTATCAAAATAGAAATGAACTCAGTAGATCCGATGGGACGGATAACTTAACAGATTGTCTCTCTCAATCCACCAACCATATGTCCCTCATGACAAATGATCCAGCAAACCGAGTCAAACATTCGCATTGTGCTCTAGAGCATCAGGATACAATACATCATACGCTTCACCACGCCAACAGTTTGGATGGCATACCAGATGTGAAAAATGTTTCCGAACCAACCGAAGATGCGTGCATCGTCTATCCATCGGGATCGAATGTACAAAAATCAACCAGCCCGGAAACACCTCTGGGAGTCACTCCACTTGTATCCACCTTTGGGGCGACATCCCCACCGAGTGAGTGCATGTCAGGGATCAGTTGTCCTCATTCATGCGATACAACAGAAACACGCCAACCCACTTGTTGTATACACAAACATCAGCGACATAGATGTCATCGGAGTAGTCGGCACAAAACCAATCATTGCGAAGCTAGGAAAATTCGCAAGCGCACCAGAAGACTTTGTGACTGTGACTATGAAGGTGAGCCAGATGCGCATGTATTGCATAACAATTCCGAAGGCATCCACCAATCAGGCTCCTCCAGAACAAGACCAAGTAGTTCCCACACCCCGCTTGACCAAATCCACCCGAGCTGTACTCTTGACACGCAAGAATCCCGTCCCAGTGTGCAGCAGGCCACCATTTCAGGCATCGGGGGAGTGAAGTACGAGGCTCAGTCAGGTACCCTAGAGGAATCTGATAAATCCCACCTGAGTGGTCTACCTTTTGCACCAAGTCCTTCCGTTAAGCCAATTGTATCGAACCGGAGCACTGTCGGTGAATACCAGGGTGATCGATTTCATTCTCTAGTACCGGCTATTTTATTGACCAACAATACAGAACCAAAGCCTATTACTCGAAACTCCGAATCGGAACAGGCAAATGCAACGAGCTCTCAGTTTTCCTCAAACAACTTAAACCAAGCAGCTTGTACAGGACAGTTTCGATCGACCGCCGTCATAAATCTACGAAACCCCGGCGATCTAGTTCATAGGGAGCTCAGTCGGCCACTCAGCCGTCTTTGAAAATTTTCACGAAGACACCACAACTGGCGCTCAATACCACCTCTACTCTGTGCGAATCTAGGTCTGGAAATCATTGAACGTTGAGCATTACGCACGGATGATGGTAATGGTCGTCTTGAAAGCTGAGTGGAATGGTTGCCTGTTGATATCCCCGTTGTTTAAACACAAAAACGCAGACCGTAGTTCCTGTGACTGTAGGACATGTGCACTTTTAGGGGATGCGCGATCAGCATCCGGGTGCTTGAGGTACCAAGAACTTCAAGCGTACCTTGCCCATTCATCATGCTGCTGTACGCGACGGACAGTATAAATAAACATGGGAGTTACAGTGGTGCTTTTTACCTCCACTGCGACCGCAGTTACTAGATGTTCATGAGTTTCAGACACAAACGGTGCAATAAAAGTTCCCAGATCTCCTGTTATGTAACATAAACTCTATACATAAAACTGAGGTTAGTTGTACATAGTGTAGGTTAAGAAAAGTCATTTCAATTACTGGCAACCGCGAAGCCGGAGTTTATTTGCAATCACTATCGATGGCCGATTGACCGTAGAAGGCTTAATTGTCAGGCTCATGTTCAGTATGCTTGCCCAAGACTTCTGAGTCGCTGATATTAAGGTAGCTACAATGCAGAAGTAGAGCGTTAAACACAAGCTGGACCACGGGCTTATCGCAAATTTGCAGCTTAAGCGAGTTTTACGCCGTACCTATATTCATTTAATCCCATCATTACGCGAAAACCGGGTACGTTGACCAAGGTTTGGTCGCCACAGTAGAACAATCATGAAGAGTTTCCATCTATAGACCCCAAACTAAACGCACATCCCGTGATAAAACGTCTCCTAGAGTGAATGGGACGCCTTCTCCTGAGGCACCCGGAGTTAGACGATCCACGTAACAAATACATGGAGGTCAAGAGTAAGAAACTTTAGGAATATTTCTATACGACCGGAGGTGCTAAACTTTTAGCTGGCATATTAAATTATGTCATTGAACAGCAAACTGAACAACCACTTGGTCGGTGTAACGAGCTGGACCTCCACGTCCTACGATGGTTTGTGTAGCTCTCCAACTCACTGAGCCCTTTGAATGCTGCTCCTACCAGGTCTCTCAATGGTTAGAGGTCAGACAAACTCAGCTTCCTGGTCTTCAAGGTTGTGGGGTTGGAACTATAATGGCATGCACTTTTGCAAAACCAAACCGTTGCTACCTTTCACAGCCCTGTAGGCAAGCCTTTAAACCAATGGCCTTGGTTGAGGAGCCTAATCGTTCTCCTGTCTAATTTTGGACACCCTGGATGTACCTCTGCTGTTGCATAGCTATAAGTATTGCGTTTAACCATCCCAACCTCCTGCATAGTCCGTCGCGCTGCTATACAAGGGTTGCCTTGTATGTTGTATACAGCAGGGTGGATAAGCGAAAACATACCGCAGATGAGGCTTGCTATCTATCCTGTCCATCTCTTCCTTTTACTACACTCCCAAGTTCCATCACTAACCTTTCTTCTACAATACCCAGCTAAATAGACTGTAGTCGCGATGCCACTGAAAGTATGACATCTGCAGCCTTCGTCCTGCAGTATACACTGGATACCTATCGACAATAGCCCCTTTAGGATCACACTGTGCGCTTCCTCTGGCGGCGGCCAATGCTCGCAGTCTAAAGCAAATAGGTCAATAGCTGAATTAGAACGCACGTTGGACACCCACTAGGATCGGCGAATTTCACAGGGTTGTTTAACTTACTATGCCCGGATTATTCTCTTGCTATCGGTTACACGTATCCGACAGCGTTGATATGGCAGTCTTCGGTCAAGCTGGAGTCGAGATCGTTCTGGGATCCAGGGTTGAGTTTACGTTGGTTGATCAGGTTTTTGTGAACAGCCGTTTACGTGCAGTCCGTCTGATGACATCAACTAAAACTGGTTCACGAAGTAGCACTAGATCCTGTTCGGCTGCGTATTGTCGCCAATGCCGCCATCGACTACATTTATGATGCTGCCAAGGCCACCTTTTACCACGAACTGAATGCGTTACTTTGCAGCGTTACAAGATCAGACAGCGTTGTCGTTTTGGCGGGGGATTTGAATACCAAGTAAGTCGGCGACCTGATTATGACATACTTGATCCTGCGAGACCCACATCATGTGTGCCTCCCTTTACTGCAACTCAGCAGCAATACAAACCTGAGGGGCCACTCATTAAAACTCGCAGAACAATACAGTCGTCTGGAGTGCCGCAGAAATTTCTTTTCCATCCGTGTCTGTCACCCGTGGAATGCTCTCCCAGAATCGGTCGTCTCTGCACCGACACTAACAATATTTAAAAGACGGTTGGACGATGCACTCATCCACTTACACTTTGTTACTTAACACTACGTCTCAATCCCACACCTGGAGTTTACCCTGGAATTATTTGTTGTTAACTGTGGGTGCTGTGAATCTAAGAGGATCGCAGGACTGCAGCGAAGCAAACGAAAGTCCTTATTTTCGTATTTAAAGTGTTAACTATTTTACTATCCTTTTCATCATAATTATTATGTTGATATCCCCACCAACTATCCAACGGGGCTTGTAAAGCAACGCTTCTTGACCCGTATAAATTCATTGTTCATTGTTCATTGTCAGGACTCTTAGTAGCTTAACTAGGTGGTAAGTATGAGTGTCAGGAAGTTGAGATGTGGACATACATATGGTTACAATTCTTAGTTACCTGCTTATGTTCGCTACCGTTGTTTTCTTGATATTTATTTAAACTCATCACTTCTTTGATTTGATTGGTCGGCCCGCAACGTTCGAAATCGATATCATCTCGGGGGTCTTTTTCCGCTAATACGATTTTCTTGAACTAGCCTGCCTGTTTCTTATGTTTAGTAATTCTTATTCGCCTGCCGTATCCAATGTCTCCTACGTTGATGGTTGGCTCCAAGGTATTTTAGTAGCCTCGCTTCAACTATTGCTGTACGCTATTTAAATGAGGAGGTTACAGGTGTAAAAGAACTCGGTCCTGGCTCGTCTCCATGTTCTTCCTGCGGTCGTGGGTGTGTGAACAGTCGGCTGGCGACATAACATTTCCTGTATACCGGAGGTATTGAACACGCATGGCCATTTCATTCCAGCAGTGCACTCCCTCATTCAGCAGTAGCAGTAGCAGCAGCAGCTTTAGTTTAAAATGTCACAGCGGCAGTTAATTCAGTTGCCATCAGAAAAGCTGAACATCCAAATGGATTGGGAACGGAAACCCAGGTTGAAATCTCAGAAAGTTTTATCTGAATGCCACAAGCTGCTCACTTCAAATCATGACCCAGGAATGATTGAAGCTACTGGGCCCAGAAAGGAACCCCAGTTTTGCCATATAGCCATTTGTGGCCAAAATGGGAATCGAGCTCTACCAGACCGAAAGCCCCCGACTACAACTTGGAACGGCGGTGAGAAATATTCTGCGAGACTTCGGGTCTACAAATGTTCTCTTTGTCGAGAAGCACGTAATCTCAGCCGCGTGTGTACTCCAAGCGTGAATGCATGATTCCAACTGAAAAGGACCAGTTTTCACAATGCAGCAAGATTTTCAGGAAAGAGGACATTTGACAGTGCAACGCGATTATGTTCCTGTGTTACTACAGCGACAAACAGTGTCTGATATCACGATTGTTTCTCTATCGACAAGGACAAAACTTGACAAGTCATCAGTCAAATCAATAAACCGCATGGTCCAAAATGCACCAGGGGTACTGCTACAGTCAGATAGAGTAATTGCCTGTGAACAAAAACTCAAGGAACTGCAACTCCTGGAAACCATTTACCTAGCCAGAGGTACGGACGTTCCTCTGTCAGGAGTGGAAGGAATTTAGATGCTATATTCGCCCAGTGAGTCACCGAATCAAGTCATAACTCGCACTAAAAGAAATACGTGCCCCGAATACTCCTGTGCAGACAACTTACTTGAACGAAGGCATTGCACACTTGGCATGAGCCCGAACCACCTTGGTAATGGATGTATGTGGACCCAGGCGTATCCTACCGTCCGAAGATCTACACTATCCCCAGGTAAACTCATTTCTTTAAGAAGATGGAGTGTCAGGAGGTTCAGAGGTGGATATATATTTTTGTTACAATTCGTAGTTACCTGCTTATGTTCGCTACCGTTGTTTTCTTGATATTTATTTAAACTCATCACTTCTTTGATTTGATTGGTCGGCCCGCAACGTTCGAAATCGATATCATCTCGGGGGTCTTTTTCCGCTAATACGATTTTCTTGAACTAGCCTGCCTGTTTCTTATGTTTAGTAATTCTTATTCGCCTGCCGTATCCAATGTCTCCTACGTTGATGGTTGGCTCCAAGGTATTTTAGTAGCCTCGCTTCAACTATTGCTGTACGCTATTTAAATGAGGAGGTTACAGGTGTAAAAGAACTCGGTCCTGGCTCGTCTTCATGTTCTTCCTGCGGTCGCACGTGCGTGAGCAGTCAGCTAACGACATAACAATGCGCATACTTCCAATCTCAGGTACAACGGTGAACGTCTGCTTCAACTGTGCTTGGTGCACCAACTATTTCTTATCAGCAAATCTTATAGGCACAGTGGGCACTGAAGTACCAGTCGGGGTCCCTCTGTAGTTGGTCGGTGATAGAGCCAAGTCGACCATGTTGCCATACGTTATATATGGCGGATTTTTCGCCTCGATTATCGATCCTACTAGAATACCTGCGCCCACTCAGGTCATGCCATTGTACGTTGTTACTTTTCCATGAACTTGACTGGGTAGTGTACCGAGAGTCTCTCTCGATTGGCAACCGACAGGTTCTCAATTTCCTCAGGCAAACAGGGCTATTAGGATGCCGTGCGCACCGAAATTTTGCTCTCTCGTCCTAAGGACACTGCTCTTCCGTGAGTTGAAATCACGAACGCCATGCGTGGCACAAGAGCCGCTGCTTGCAGTACTATCAGTCGTCACCGCACCAGTCACTGGATACCCGAGAGGTCTGTGAATCGGTTAGAATCCAGGAGGAAACACCCTGCTGGCTCTGAGCCCAGTGTAATCAAAGGGACTATTGGAAGCAAACTGGAATGTTGAGGCGGGATGGGTCAGTAAGCCTTAGGAAATGGTGGAGGCAGGAGCAGATGACACTTATCACAAGCTGTCCCAACTGCTACACACCACCGGTTCCATGATGTTACACGTCAGTGAGACAATCAGAGACAGCCTGGAGGCCGTGACTCACAATAAGAAGCGTCGTACGGCCCGTTGGGCCGGAGTACATTCGAGAGGAGTTCGGTTAGTCACCAGCTGCTGGCTCGCTTCCCACGTAAATGCCTCCGGATGAGCCATGACCGGTTATTTTGGGGGCTCCGTATGGGGCCGAGTTCCGAAACGCGCCCACGGCCCTTAATCCTTTTCGAGTTGTTGGTCCTGATTCCACTGAACCTTCACAATTTAAGGATGGTACAGTGGTCCTTAGCAGAGCATTGACGTCCCTAGTTGGACAGGTCGGGAAGCAATGAATCGATCACGGTTGCAATATACAACAATTGCCCTCGCTCTGATCTTGCCAACCACAGCGGTATTAGCCTGACGCTGATGGTGCAAAAGTACTGGCCTCAATTCTCGTCTATTGTCGTATCGCGTATTTGGAATGAAGCAATCGGGAGTAGCAAGCAGTTTTCCTCCCAGGACGGGGCTGTATAGACCATAGGTACTGCGGTAGGTGATAGAATATCGTCTCAGACAAACAATATCCATGCTCAGCGACTTCA